ATTAGCGTCCTTTTATCTGCAGATTAACACGTGCCCATTAGAAGAGGGATTCCAGGGTGGCTTGATTACAGTTGCACTGATCTGTGTGTGGTCACGTATCTGCATGAAATCATCACGGTTTAGGCTGCTGGGCAGACTGTGCTCAAGTGCAGATGTTCCAAAACCAAGCTACAAACCTGAATTTCAGGGGTTTCTGAATCAGCATCGTTCAGAGGTGTGGGCTCTGCAGGGACAGACCCCGCTCCTCATCCCTGTCCCCTCCTAAACTGAGCAGCTCCAGGGGAAGGGAGGGTCACACATCAGTCAAAACAAAACCTGGTAGCTCAAACCAGTTGTGCTAGCAAACCTCCTGACAGAAACGGGTCTGCTGGGACCTGGGACTGGGCCAGTCACTGCTCTGGGCTGTGGTCAGCCGCTGGGACAGCCACCGTCAGCCAGCATGGCCACATCAGCAGAGGGGGAGGTTCTCCTCCCCCTCTACTCTGCCCTGGTGAGACCGCATCTGGAATATTGCGTCCAGTTCTGGGCCCCTCAGTTCCAGAAGGACAGGGAACTGCTGGAGAGAGTCCAGCGTAGGGCTACAAAGATGATCAAGGGAGTGGAGCATCTCCCTTCTGAGGAGCGGCTGAGGGAGCTGGGGCTCTTTAGTTTGCAGAAGAGGAGACTGAGGGGAGACCTCATTCATGTTTATAAATATTTAAAGGGTGAGTGTCACGAGGATGGAGCCAGGCTCTTCTCGGTGACAAACAATGATAGGACAAGGGGTAACGGGCACAAACTGGAACACAGGAGGTTCCACTTCAATTGGAGAAGAAACTTCTTCTCAGTGAGGGTGACAGAGCCCTGGCCCAGGCTGCCCAGAGAGGTTGTGGAGTCTCCTTCTCTGCAGCCATTCAAAACCCGCCTGGACGCCTTCCTGTGTAACCTCATCTGGGTGTTCCTGCTCCGGCAGGGGGATTGGACTGGATGAGCTTTGGAGGTCCCTTCCAATCCCTGACGTTCTGGGATACTGTGTTCTGTGATTCTGTGAGCACAACCAGGGAAATGTGGAATCAGAAGTACTGCACAACACAGGTTCACTTTCTCCCTCTCTCTACAGTAAACCTTCTCTACAAGAAGCCCAATGGCAGCCTATTGCCTCATCACTCCTGAAGGAGATCTCCATGGGGGATGATATTTAACTGTGCCCCAAGCTCACACACATGAACTCCAGGCTTTCAGTCCACCCGTGCACACCTAGGTACCCCTCTGGAGAGGGTCCTCGATGGGTGCAGCTTCTTGCTTCAGACAAGCTGAGAGCAGCCCCTGCAATCAGACAGAGAGCTCTATTTCACTATGCCCTGTACTCTTATTTTTATTGGTATTTTCCCCATCAGGACCTGCCCTTTGGTTTGTGCCTTCTGCACATTAGGGGGTCTGAGCCTGCGGAGCAATCCAAGTGCAAACCACCAACCACTGCCTGCCTGGCCCCGAGAGATGAACACGAGACCTTCTTGGGCCAACTCCCAGACCACACCAGCACCACGCTGCAGGGCACTGACATGGAAAGGATACCTTACAGCAAGACCTGTGTGCACACAGAGGGGCAGCTCATCCCTCCTGGGATCAGACGTTTAGCAGCAACGCCAAAGGATACCTTACAGCAAGACCTGTGTGCACATGGAGATGCAGCTCATCCCTCCTGGAATCAGACGTTTAGCAGCAACGCCGCTTAAACGCATGGTGTGGTGAGTATTGGTACAAACACCAACACAAGCAAAGGGTCTCCTGCTCCAAGCTTCTCCTTCCTGCCCAGGCTTTGTCTCCCCCAGTTAAACCCGTACCCTACGTTTTGGGCTCACACTGTGATTCAGGCTGATACTCATTTCACTGATTTCTGCACTGTTTCTCCCGATAGCTCAGTTCCCTCGACCCGGTCCTCTGCACGGCTTAACAAAATACCACCAGAAACACACACCTCAAATGCAGCCTCGTGGGCACCAAGCAATGAACAGAAACATAGCTTGGGATTCCCATTCCAGCCATTTGCTATCTCAAGAGATAACTATGGGATGCTTTCACTGCCTTTATCACCCTTTATCCCTTCCAGACACGTCTTAGCGATGATAAGCTCAGAAACTGAAGTTTCCAAGCAGGAGGGGCCTTCTCCAAGCACAGGACATTCACACACACACTCACATTCGCCTTTCTGCCTGTTGTCTGGCCCTGGAAACTTCTGGGTTTTAAATAGGGTTGTAAACAGATTAGAAAGGAAAGAAAAAAGCCTTCTGAAAGGTGCAATGCTTGTGCTACTGCACTATTCAGAAGGGGAGCAGAAATGACGGTGCAAACAACTCTTCTGAGGTCTCTCTTAAAAACCACCTTAACATGCGACAACATCAATTAAAATTGTCACCTGTTTCAGGTTCAGCTTCGATCCCAATTCAGGAAGCAACTCCTAAACAGAGAAAAAGCCGGTTACATTTGCAGCAAATTCTTTTCTTCCTTTCAAAGAGCAATCCACGCCTGCAGGAAAAGGCTGCCAGGCTCCCCTGACAGCTGTGGGACTACAGAAAATCATTTTTTGGCCCCAGTGGGTTTCTGCAGGAGCCGAGCGGGAACAAATCTTTACAGTTCACAGGCAACAAAATACCTTCATCTCCTCCTTCTCCCAGGCAGCGTGGGTCTGCAAGAAGAGTTACCAAGAAAACAACAGCGCTCGAAAAAATACCAGCAAAGACAACCACTGTGCCCTGTAACATCAACTTCTGGGTGATTCCCAATTTATTTCCTGCAATACAGCACCTGCCTTTGTGGTGTTTTTGAAAAGGGAAAGGTGTGAACGTGAAGGAAGGTGCACGAAAAGTTACCACAGCTCTGTGCTGCTGAGCCTCTTATACATACGCAGCTCAACAAAGAAATAATCAGGGGAGAAAAATGACAACTAGCAAGGACTCTGCTGCTCCACAGAAAACAGCATGGAAACGCGAAAGACAATGGGGAAAAATGAGGCAGTGATTATCAGGAAGGCTGAACAAAGCAGATGTTTCATTGTCTTGCAGAAATGAGATCAAGTCTTGGGTTCACGTGCAGATGCAGAGGCTTCAGCAGAGAACGTGTGAACGGCCTCTTCCTACCACCCTTCTCCTGAATCTGTTTTTTCCCGTTATTTTAAACCCAAGGGAAAGGGTCAGAGGTGCTGAGGACACGCTGGGCACTTTCCAGACTGGCCCACCCCCCGCAGGCTTTGGTTTTTGAAGCCATGTGATAGTGATCAAGAGCCCCATCACAGCAACCCCTGTAACCCTCGCAAACCTCACACACAGCTTTCCAGAGACAAACCTTGAAGCCCAAGGGGGTGCGTCAAAATACGCTTCTGATGTACCATAAAATATGAACGAGGAAAACACTCCCTCCTAACCCAGCAGCCGTCTTTTAGAAGGGAATTGCCTCTTTCAACTGCTCAGCCCCAAGGGATCTCTCACCGTCAAATTCCACGAGGGTCTGGGGGTTTGCCCGGCTTAATTTGAGCGCACAAGGGGCTGCCGGAGGAAAGCTGCGAGGCAGTTTCGGTTGCAAAGCCTTGTTTGGGTAAAGGACAGCCTTATGTGAGATTCTGCATGTACTGCATCTGGGCTTCCCCTACTCACTAGCCAGAAAACACGGCAGGGGTGCGAGAGGGAGCGAATTCAAACGCAATCAGGGGAAGAGAGAGGGGAAATGAGGCTGGGAAATGAGGGCAGGCGTGGTTTCTGCCCTGCTACCGAGGCCGGGTGCCCACAGGGCTGTGATCTCGATGTGCTCTTTGGACTCCCACCTGCTTCCGGAGGCGCAGGTGGTGCCACGGCCAAGGGCACCTTTTCCATCTGGGGCTGGCTAGCTGCCACCCATCCCTTTTATTCTTTCCTTTCCCCTCTCTTCCCCTGCTCCAGACCACAGGGATTCACAGCTTGGAAACCTTCACGTCACGTTATCGCTGTGCCGCAACACGTGGGTGACATCTGAGGATCACTTTGTGTTTGCTGGGCCGTAACACGCTGGTAGTGAACAGAAATCCACTGCACCAGCCTTTACCAAGCTGCTGCAGCTTCCCAGGTATTTCTGGGTGGGACCTGCAAGCCTTCCCTTGACTGAGGAGCAGGACACCTATAGCCAGTCTCTCTCCATCATCAGACACAGCACAACGAGAGGATCAAGCTCGTTATAGCCAAAAATAAAGCGTCACAGGGCCAGGGACCAAGTGGTCGTAGCAGAGATCTGCCTGTTTCAGTATCTACTCCCTACTGGGCAAATGAACCCTAAAAAATTAACCAAACAACCCAACAACAAAGAAAGGCCCATTTCTGTTCACCACCAATGCACCAGATTACTTCACATCTCCTTTTGCCTTCTTAAAAAAAATTAAAAAGGCAGTGCTCTGTTTTATCAAGTGACGGCAAAGCCACCCCTAAGGATTCTGCAGTGAAGATTTTGGAGCGAGTCGCATTACTGCAGGCAACATACAGAGAGAGAGAGAAAACATCATCTGGTTTACTACTGTAATGATATGGGAATGCAATCAAGTCGCCTAACATATCAGCTTCTTGACAGCTTCCAAGCTTAGGAGCAGCCTCAAGTTAACACGCTACGCTTAATTTCCTTTGGGTCGAACTCGTAAGAAATCTAATTTGTTTCACAAGCAGCTCTGGGTTTCGGCAGACGGCTGATGAGCACCACAGCCAAGAGAGGCCATTTAGTGTCTCGCACGGATCTGCTGGAGAAGGTAATTGATCAATTACATATTTAGAAACACACTGGGGAAGAGATCTGATGGTGGCCGTGTGACTATTTTAACATCCCTGCTTCTCTGTAGGAAGAGAAGAAATAAATCTATATATATGTAAAATGAAAAAAAAAAATCAATCCACTCAGTGGGACACCTCCGAATTCCACGTGTTCCCATGCAGCAAGGTGTCCCCTCACGCACTCAAAGAGAGCCAAGAGCAATGGCAGCAGCACTGACTGCTGGGCATATACATTACCAGGCTGGGGGTGGGTTTAGGCATTGTCTTCCGTGCTCTGTGGACCTTGACTTCAGTGTTAGCAGCGGTGGCTTTTTTAGCATCCATGTCCTTACTGCCCTCCCCAAGCTTGGCTGGCATCGTGGCTTGCATCTGAGAAAAGGAGCCCACAGTTCTCCCTTTGCTTGCTCCTCCTGGAAGGGTTTTTGCAGCATGGCCGGTGAGAGAAGCAAAGGTGCTGGTAGTCCTTAGGGGTTGCTCCTGTGCCATCTGCTTGGTTAGGATATATCCATTGCTCCCTGTTACAGAAGTCTGTGTGAAGTCATTAGCTTTCATGTGGTTTTGCTTCCCAGTCTCACCATCTCGTTCAGAAATGCCATTTTCCGCTATCCTATTTAATTTAGTACTAGAGTCCTGCTGGCTCACTTTCGTATTGTCCTGAGTGTTTTTAGCTGGGTTTGGGTGGCTACCAGCTTCGCTGTGCTCACAGGAACCGTTGGTTTCACCGTCTACTGCCATTTTTGGTTCCCCTGCTTGCTTTTCTGTAGCGCTTTCATCTGCAGCCATGGCATTAAATCCTGGAGAAAGAGGATAAGGAGGAAGAGAGGAGAAAGAGATGGGTCACAAGCGTTATCAAAACTCCAAAGAGAAGGCACAGCTACTTACAGCGGCTAACGAAGAGCAAACCTCTCCCCTAGAAAACTGCTTGCTATGTATATATCTATGTATATGTATCTGTATGTATACACACACACATCCGTGTAGGCCGCTGACTCACCTACCTGACCGGCTTGCCTGGATCCTCAGATGGTGAAAACTGGGGTGGCTCACTTGAAAGCAGTGCCCTCATTCCCACTTGCCTCAGCTGCAGATGTGCCCATTTATTCCCAACTATGGCTTTTTCAAGGTAAATATTATCTTTAGATTTTCCAATAACTACAGTTATTGGACCACACGTCAACACCTCGCATTTCAAACAAAGCGCTGCCCAATCTTGCATCCAGATCTCTGGCAAAGCCCTTCACATTGCCAGACTGACACAAGAAAAGCTTGCTGGTAGGGCTGCACAGGTCGGTTTTTGTGGCACAGACACAGGGCAGCAGCTGAATCTCTACATCAGGGCTCTGCTGCCACACGAAACATCACGAGGAGTAAAGACACAGCTCTCCTGGCAATGCCGTCCAGTGGCTCTTTTGCCAGGATGATGCCGCACGGGAGCAGGACTCACGGTGTCATTTCAGAGGGAATAGGCAGAGCAAACACGGAGGTGAATCACATTACATGCAATTTCAGACTAAAAGAATCATGATTCAAACCCAGCAAGATGTTTGCAGGCTGACTAAAAGCTCACGCACACTTAAAACAGGAGTGCCCATGTAAGGTATTTTTTCCTCTCCCAAACATTTCCATGTTCCCCCCACCAATGAATTTGCCCCCTCAGAGATTTCAGACCCGAGCTGAAAAAAACCCAAGTATGGATGCCGTGTACTTGCAGAAAGGTTTCCAACATGACAAACTACCAGCTCCCCAGGCAACCAGCAGTGATAGCAATTCACTGGCACGTTCAGTGAAACGATTAAATCAACCTGCCATCAGGGACTCCTCGTATTGTTTTCCTTCCAGAGGTCAGACAGTTATGAAAAGCATCACAAGTACCAGCGAAAGCTCCGTCCAACCGGGCTGTCAAAGCAGGTAGGGCCGATTTACAACCAGCTCAAATCAAAGCAATTTTTGCCTGCAGCTTTGCAGGTCCGACCAGCACGTTGGGTATCAGTGTCTCCCTTCACGCTGCTCCTGGAGCGCAAACACTCGAGGAAAACAAGATTCTGAGTATCAGTGCTGACCTGGCCAAACCTAAAGCATGAAGAGGAAGCCAGATCCCGGGTCCCATGATGTCTGGCTGGGCTGGCTGTTCAAAGCTGGGCTCTGCAGGGCTTTGCTGTGTGCCCCAGGCACCTGCAGCTCAGTGCAAACATCAACAGGGAGAAGCAGCAGCACTGCACAGATCACTGCAACAGCTCTGCCCAAAAAGCACCAAATTCCCCTTCCAGTTAGTGGCAACTAGGGAAAAAACCAAAAAATCTCTCCCAAACGACTTGAGGCCCTACCCAACCTCTTCTTTCCACCCTTTTAATGTATTCATTCAGTCCACCTCCCTACCATTGGGTTGATCTAAAAGATTCTGATACCAATTTCTGCACAGCCAGCACTTGCAGACCTCTCCAAAACCAATGCATTCCAGTACCAGTAACATCCACATTACTGCCCCAAAATTCTGAGGTTTTTTGGTGCTCATGTGGAATTTAAAGACAAACACTTCCAGCATCAAACTGAAAGCCATCCCACACGTGGTCAGTACACTTGGACCATCCAATCCAAGTGCTCTGTCTTGAAGCACGGCCAATGCTGAACTCAAAGCAGCTGGTCAGGGCTCTGCCCAGGTCTCAACGACAACGCCACAGCACTCGACTTGCTCCAGCCCAGTCCTACCCACCAAGTACAAGTACCCATGAAGTCCTAGTCCTGCCCTGCGTTTCCAACTGGAAGCCACAGATGCTGGGCACAAAGCATCTTATACTGGGAAGTGTCCTCAAACCCTGCTGACGAGTGGTGACTCTTCCTTGGGGTTCAGCTCTGGCCGTGCTTCCTCATAAGACCCCTGCACTAAGAGGTCCATTCCCCCCAAACCCTGGCAGCTCAGCCTGTCACTGCATCCCACGTGAACTCTGCAGGCTCAGCGCCTCCAAAAAGAGCTCCAAAACCCCCAAAAAGAGCTCACTGGAGCACAGGCAGGGGGGCAGAGGCACAAACCCCACCTCTGGGAGGCAGCAATGGAGTGGCTCTCCAAGCGCGATCCAAAGTCATCACCTCCATCTGCTGCCCTCTCACACCACCCAGACCCCCTTCTGCTACTGAGAGCTCTGGTAAGACACACAAGGGTTTGTTTCAGATATCAACAACTCTGGGAGAAGATAAAGTGCTCTTTTTTTCACTGTTATTTAACTACCTGAAAAGTCTTGGGCAAAGGAAGCCAACAGCTATGTCTTTATTCTTTCAATCCTTGTTTCTCTTTCTGCATTTGGTGTCTTTAAAAAAACTTTGCTGTGACCACTTAAACAATTGTTTCAGCAAAGTCAGTGCCAGAAGAAAAACAAATAAAGAGCTCCCTAACCCCAGATGGAGGTTTCCAGCGCTCAGCACAAGGCACCTGGCCGAATGAAGCCTTCAATATTTGTTGATTTAAACATTGCGCACTCCCACCAGCGCAGCCAAATAACTTCAGAGGCTGACTATTAGATACACTGAATAAGCAGAGGGCAAGAATTGCTCTACCTGTCACAAAGGCAACCAAACCAAGTTAAATTAGAGCACTGCCCTTTTTTTAACTGCATTACTCCAGAAAGCGTCGTGGGCTTTATGAAAAATCCATGAAGCTAAAATTAAAATCCCACATAGTTTCCCCCACACATTCTTATTAAGCGTGCAAAACGCAATCTGATTGACTGCGGAAGTGCCATCAATCCCCCATAAACAGACACCAAACTTCCAAACCTGTACGAGTGGAGATTTGACAAAACGAAGATGGGAAATGTCACAGTCCCTGAAGTAATCCCCCATAAACAGACACCAAACTTCCAAATCTGTACGAGTGGAGATTTGACAAAACAAAGATGGGAAATGTCACAGTCCCTGAAGCTGCACAGGACTGCAGACAGCAGCCGTCAGGGGATGGTTCTGATTTAAAAGAATCACGCACCCACTCTGCCCTTCTGCAAATGACTGCTCACCTTGCAGGGCACAGCAAGGTCCAAGGGCTTCCAGCTCCAGACCTGAGCATCGGCTGTGCCACCGCACATGGGGATGAGCAAAATGTGCTGTGCGGTGTCACAATTTGGTGCCTAACGAACGCGCATCCACAGGACAAAACCTGTTAGGGCAGCTGCCATCACAAACTCACTGGTTGGTGAGCGTCAGCAGAGACCAAGCACTGGACAGGAGGAAACACCACGTCCCTCTGCAGCCTCCAACAAGGCTGAGACACCGCGGGCAAGGCTGTCCTGAGCTGCTGCTTTCTTTGGGGAAAGATCACCTCCATCCTCCAGCTCACTTTTCTGGCAGCACTGAAACAAGCTCATAAACAGTCTGGAACAGCTCTGTTTTCTACAGAGCTCCTGTACAGCACGGGGCTCCTGCAAGAAGCCAACGCACCGACTGCAGGGGCTCATTGTCCCTACCTGAACATCAAACTAAAGAGACCTCAACGAGAAACTACTTTATGTCAGGAGCTCTGCTCAGTAAGATGTGGTAACCCAAGTAAACCAGCCTGGTATTCACAACCAAAATACCTGGTCTGGTCATAGGAAAATAGGAGTTGCTGTCTCAGGCCAGGCTGCTGCCCCACTTGCCACGATGCTGTGCCTCTAACTCGGTGCTCGGTCCTCGTGGAACAGGACACAGCAACTCTGACTGTACTCAGTAAGTCTCAGGTACACTAAGTGCATGTGTACAAGCACTGCTGAATAGGTGCAATTCAATTTATATTTACACTTGTGCTGAAATACAGCCTAGAGATGGGGACGGGAACACAAGCTGGAGACAACACTGAATGAAACAGCCCACAGCAGCTCTTCAACAGCACCAGGCAGGGAAAGAAACACTTGTTCCTGGCGTGACCTTCTCGTCTCTCCTTTTTCATTATTAAATGAAAGGTTTCATTGCAAACCTGCTAAAATCCTAATTTCAAATATACCTCGTGGCAATGGGATCTCTTCTTGACAACGCTGTTCAACAGCTTTTCCACTCCTGTGCTGCAAGTGTCAGTGAATAAAATCCTAAAAATCGGTATTTCTCTAAAACTTCATAACCTGACAGTGTTTATTCCTTCGAAACAGAGCAGAACTCTGTTCCCTCCATATTTACTGTTCTCACCAAGTCCCTCATTGTTCCTTCATCTACAACCACTCTTTAATTTTAAAAAATGAAAGTCAGAAAGATACAGCCTATATCCACAGAAGTGCAACTTCATTTACTGGAGGCATCCTAGAACTTGCAGAGCTCCCTTATGCATCCCCTACACAGCAGTAAAAGCTTGTCACAAGGACCACAACGCTGCCTGCATCCTGATCCAAGCATTCAGCATTAATTTAAAATCCAGCAACGTGCAGGGTTTTAAGTGTAACTTGCCCAAGAGCTTCATTTTCTGTTATGGTGCCTATTCTCTGCAGCTGATACCAAGTTGTACCTTCTAGGGGCTGGCTACATTTTAGTGACACCAGGAATTTAATACTCAGAGTATTATGCAGATACATGATCCCTGCAACTCCACCCAGCAAAGAATAATCCCTAACGTACTTAAATCACATCTCCAAATTAACAACTCTCTGGAGCAACGCAGCTCCCTCCTCCCACCTCTCCCCAGACCCTCTGGAAGTTTCAGTCTTAAGCTTTCTTCTCAGTATCAAACACAGTCATTCAAAATGGAATTTAAATGCCCATGAAGAGAACAGAATCTGAAGAAAGGAGGGGAGCAGCTAAGCCAGACAGGATCAGACACCTAATTTTAGGTGCTCAAAAGGTG